TTAACACCCCCAAACCACCACGAGCCGCCTGTCAATTCCAAACCCTCAGCTAAACAAAACTAATCAAAAAACAAAACAAAAACTTTTTTCAAAACATGAACAGTCAAACGATATCAGTGTCAATGCGTGTCTATTAAGATTTCATGTAGTTTCCGCAAATATACGAAGAGGAAAAAACATTGTAAACAGAACAGTAGTAGTCCTCTCTCAAAACAGAATGGGAAACAAACAAAATTAAAAACAAGAAACTAAAAATAACTGGCAGCGCCTAAAAATACACGTACGAACATGATGAAAATATGGTGTCACATGGGATGGGGAGGGGTTTCGCAAGTTCGTAATTAAGGCTTGAAACAAGTGAGTGGTTGACAGGGTTTCACTAAGTAAATAAGTAAGTATTAGGGTAGTTGGAATCGTTAAGAATTGTAAAATACGTTTGATCCACAAGAAAAATTTTAAAATTTCAAGGATTTTGGGTTTATTTTCACTTTATTACCTTACACAATTTTATTTTACAGTAATCTCAACATCTCTCGAAACTTTTCCTAGCACTACTCTTCTTTTAATGATACGGCTTGGGCTAATACTAGGGCTTCAGTAGGCTCAAACTCAGTTTTATCCTACTTTTAACCTGGCTTTGTCCCAGCCTTTATCTTTCCCTACCTAAATCATACTCATAAAGAAGTCTCAATCTACCCCCTCCCCCCTCTATCTCTTCTCTCAATCTGTAGCACTCCGCTTCATATTATATCCTACTTTAGTTATAGCATAGCCTACTGTATAAACCTACAGCAATGTATGTCAAATACGTACATTGGCAAAATAAAACTGTATTTTTAAAAATAAGGAAACGTAAAGAAGATTGTACTTTAACATAAATCAAGATTTAGAATCTTATGGTTATTACCAAACAAGATTTAAGGTTATAGATATTACCTATGAATACATGTTTATATTTACACATGACATTACATATAAACAAAAATAATGGATTATATAATACTTGCAAAAACGAGTATTCATGTTTTTATGTTATGCCAATGGTGTTTTCATGTTTATGCCAATAGAGTATCTATTACTTCTGTTATAAATTACAAAAACCTATTATATTATAGCAGTAATTTTGCTATAGGACCTAAAAGACCAATACTGGCATTATTGTTATACTAATAATAACAAAAAAAAGTTAATATAATACAAAAAAACTATATAAATTTTTTCAGTATTGGCTCAATAACATGAAGTAATACCTCAATCTTATAAACTAATATACAAAGAACACCTACACAAAACAACATATGCTAACATGTATTCTGTAGATGGTTATTAATGTTTAATGTTAAAATTGTAATAGTAAATACATTTTCTTACAAATTCTTTAAAAACATGTGTTGGTTCACATAAACCTATATATATAGTACGTGCCATGCTATATAGTATACGTCTTGCAAGTTTGTTTTTACTGTACAGCAATTTTTAAAACCAATAAAAAAATAAAATACGATGTAAAAGATATATGCATCTCCTAGGTTGTTCAAATAATTTTGTGCTCTAGCTCAAAGCAAGTTTTCAGGACCAGTGGCTCAGAATTTTTTTAACAGCTCACTACTTCTAAATGCATTAAAATGTCGTAAAAACATATTTACCATGTTTCGAAACAAAACAAAAGTGCATCAGATTAAACAGAAGACATTGCATGTGTGCATTCAAGTACGTGTAGGTATGATGTGACATTATTTGTATACGTAAATAAGTATTTAGATGACATACTACTACAAAAGGTATGACAAAATTCTATTTTTGAATAGTCAAAAAGCACGTAGAAAACCGTTTGTAATCGAAAAATACGTAGAAGACGGTTAAAAACCGTAAAACACCTAAATTGTCCAAAAAAAGTTTTGTCGTTTTTAACTGTCTAGGTAAGTGTAAATTGACGACAAGTCTTTTGGAAGGGTTAATATGACAATATTCTGTCTCTTTGGAGACCTCGCCAACAGTCATAGTTAATTATAATATATATCCATTTTATTACCACTTTATGTTGTTGACGCCGAATAAATAAATAATAATAAAATAATAGAAGTAGAATTAACTGTAACATAAAACGCTGTACAAAAGATAACATAAACCCCCACAATGATACTACAACAGCACGTCCCAGCACTATAAGCATCATCAACACTACAACCCCTCTCAGCACTATAAGTCCAAGTACTACTAATCCTGTTAAAGCGTATCTTTGCCTATCGTTCCAATTTGCAGAATTACGAAAAAGATGGGCTGGTTGCTTATAACAACGAATGTTACACCAAAATACGTTTAACAGAACGGTGGCAGGTCGAAATTTAAAATAAATGTCTGAAATTTCGTGTATTCTGAACAAAGAGAAAATTGTTGGAAACACGTGAGAAAACAATGCATAATGTTTTTTGGAACACAGATTCAAACACCCAAACACACAAGGTCTACATCAAAATTTCAGCGGTTTCAAGTTTGAAAGTTTAGAAAACAGTGTTTTTAAATACAGTGAAACTTGTGTATAAGGAATTGCTTGAGGTTTTAAAGTTGTTCGTTATAAAGGAGAGTGCAGTATGGCGGTGCATCTATGAGTCTACAAATTATGAGTTTGAGATAAAAACTTGAATCATAGTGGAACTCCTGTATAACAAATCAAATTTGAAACTTGTTCGTTATGAAGGAATGTCATTATACAGGGGTGTGAATTGCACTGTATAGTGTTAGCCTGTAATTTAAAAGTTGTTTATTATACAAAAATTTCGTTAGAGAAAAGTTCTTTATAAAGACCATCCACTGTATCTTAGTTAAAACTTTCTGAAAACTTTTGATGCCATTTTGTAAAATAATATGTTTATGATCTGTAATGTAAACATAACGTATTATAATCATGGCATAGTAAAGTTTTACATCAATAACTTAAAATTAAAATATTACTTAACAAAAAAGAATTTTTTTTTCAGAAAAGTGAACGAATCCCTTATACAGGAGTTCCACTGTAAAGAAGTATTGCAAAAATAAGCCTAAAACTCAAAATCAATTTAAGGATTTACTAGTACTGTGCTTTTCAAAAAAATGAACATACTTTCAATCACTGTTTTCCCATACAATCCAGTCTAGGAAAACAATCTTATAAATGTGCTTAAAATGTTCATGTACTTGACTGTCAAAGGAAAACATTTTACAGGACACTTTCACTGTAAACAACATTACCTGATCAAAAAATTCGTACGTGCTACAGAAGAAATTAGTAAAGACAGTGTAATTTCTGTGTAACAAACTCGTGTTTAACAAAATTTCTGTATAAAGAACAACTTTTAACTCTTTGAACAACAACCCATAGTCCATTTAAAACTCTTATCATATGATAAAAATCCTTTGTGACGATTGGATGCAAAGTTTCCGAGCAATTCGTTATACGTTAGCTTCACTGTATCAAAAAGTAAGTTCCCTAAAATTTTTTTGAAAATAAATTTAAACGTGAACCCCTCTGCTGATTTCCTAAAAATATTTATAAAGTCGAAGTTTGATTGTACCAAAAAGTTAATTTTAAATACTATGTGTATATATCAAACAAAACCCTATGTACCAATCCAAAAAAAACCCAAAACAAACCAAAATTTCTATATTAATATCAGATTCGCAGTAAAAAGCAAAACCTGCCGTCCGTGACCCTTCTCCTCCCCCACTTTTCTCAAACCGAGGGTACCTTGAGACTCACATTACTGTTTTTTTAGCCGAGGCCACAGCGCGCCAAAAAAAATCTCTGACAGCCGGTTGGAAAAGAGAAACAAATCAAAAACATTAAGAATTGGCAGTATTTATGGAGCAAATGAAAATGCGCAGCTGCTAAAAATAAAATCTGACAGGAGGGTAGACAGTTTGGGTTTAGAATGGCCAAGAGTATAAGAATATCAGTTTAGGTTGAGATGGGCCAAGGCTATTCATCAACTGATTTGCCAAGAGCATTGAGGTTGCTAAAGGAAGGAAGGGGATGAACGGGGAGGATCCATCTCCCAATGAGTCGGTCTAAAAAAACGGTATGTTTTAACAAAAAAATTAAATATCAAAAAATTTTAGGTATTATTTTTGGTTTTCTGACAAAATAAAACCGTTATTATTATTTTTCCCAGCTTTATAGGGCTTAAACATTATTTTGTGAATACAACAGAGTAAGAAAGTTGCACATTTATGTAAATTGTGATTCATTTGGACCATGAAAAAAAGATATTTACATAAACAAGTTGCTTTTTTTGAATAGAAAAACATAATAAGATGCAAGTTGAACTATGTCCTTTGTTGCTAAATATAGTATTTTTCACATAGTAGGTTCTTTTTATAAATAAGAATAAAGGCCGAGCCGGAAGGGAACATGAACGATAGAGGGTGAGCGCGGCCCGTTTGCACGTAAAAAAATTCGGGCCGGCCCTAAACCTCGAGCTCCGTTTCTCAAAAGTCAGCCCGACCCATTCTTCACTAGACATGAGGAACGGGCCTGAGCAAAATTTTGATTGGGCGGGCCTAAAAAGTGGGCCCGGCCCGTCCCTTATGTCTATTTGTCATCCGTAATCGAGGGCCAGGGGCCCAAAAAATCTGTGCCCTCTCTCAGAGCAAATTTTAGCCTATAGAGGCACAGAATTATTTGGACAACTTAATATAGATGTTACTTCCAAATTTTTTAAAACTTTTTTTGAAATTTTTATTTATTTTTTCATTTTGAAATTTCAAAACCCATTTTTGGCAATTTTAAAAGTTTATTTTTAAGTTGGATGGCACTTTACATTAACTATAAACCCGAGTTCAAGTCCTGCTCTCTGGTCGGCCCCAAATGTTTCTCTTTTCCATTTCACAACAGCTTTAATTTCAAAAAACGCCGTGTTTTCCTCAGACTTTCGAAAGCATCGTGACTGTAAACAAAACCAAGTGAAGGCCCTGCGAGCCATTCCAACTAAAATATTCGGTTTTATGTTGTTGTCTTAACAAGAATGCTTACTAGAATTGTTCCAAAACCGTTGTGCCGCCAAAAAAGTTATCATTTTGCGACGGCAGCTAGCCAGGTAAGGGGGAAATTTGCATAAATTTTAATTTTTAAGAGAAGTTTTATAAGTTTTGTTCAAATAATTCTGTGCTCTGTAACTCTGAAAATTTACTTTGAGAAGGAGCACAGAATTAATATAACAATCTCATAGTAAGTTTGATATTGGAACAAATTCACCTTTTGACGTATTTTACAAATGAATTTGGTATACCCAACTTGTCCCTATTTTAGACCGGTGGCCAAATACCAGAACATACCTTGAACCAAAATTACGACAAGAATGCTGACCGGATCTTACGGGCCAGTCATGTTGAAATGGGTGAAAAACCAACAGCTTTTCAACGTCGTATGTTGGTCATCACTGGACTATACCCTTCTGTAAAACAAGTTCCTGAACAAGTACCGTGAGTTTTTTAAACCTTTATCTGATTGTACATTTTTATAGTAGTAGATAATAAGTGAAAATCCTGTATAAAGAACTGCTTGGAGATTAAAAATTTGTTTTTTTATACAAAAGTTATGTTACAGAGAGGTTTGTTATACGGGAGATTTACTTCATTTTTGTTCGCAAATGCCTTAAAGGCTTAAAAAGTTGTTATACAGAAGCTCTACTGTATATTGTAGTATAAACAAAACAAGGCTAAGCATAAGCTATACATACGTTATAACAAAAATAAAAATTTATTATTATTGAACGTATTTTACCAAAAATTCAATACAAAAATTATATCTTCAAAAATTTTAGTGCTCAAACTCTGAACCGTATGTGGGACCGTGAAAGAGCGTTGATCGTACTCCTAACTGTGTTCACCTTCTTTTCCGTTTACTTTTATGGAGAATATTCGGTATATAGTCGTATGAAGGCTAAGCAGCAGAAGGACTTGGAGATTCAACAGGCTTCAGCTCATAATCATTAAACAGCTCTCTACAAATATCTTGGCGTATTTTTCGTCAAATCGGATTATATATGGTCGAATATGGTGTTATATTGAGAAAATATGATTGTATATTGATCAAGATACGCTTTTGCTGTAACTTGGCTACGATGATGTTAATTCAATTCTTATTGTGGTAATGGTATAGCCATAGTAAATGGTTTACGTGTAGATATAGTTTCATAAAAACTAATGTGTATATATTTTTTTTACTTTTTTCATTGTAAATACTATGTATTTTTTGTTGGATCAGTTTGTTTTGAAAAAAAACTAGAATTTATAGTGTGGCTTTTATCTGAATAATTTTTACAGTGAAAGTTTTCGATTTTCCCCGCTCTGATTGTCTTCAAACTTTTTATATAGGAAACTCATGTAAATATAACATCTACAGCACAGAACTAAATCGCGCTCTCCAGGAAATATCGAGGAAATCGATTTCAGAAAATTACGTTTTAGACTTTCCGCAAAATTGGCATTGTGTTTCAAGCTTATAACTTCGGCATTTTTTGAATTTAATCATTTTTTTTATATACCAGTAGAAAACTTTTAAATAAACCTACATTTTTAAATTTGTAAGCCTAGCTAGCTTGTCTGGGAAGTCGAACAAATAGCTTGAAACACAATGCCAAATTTGCTTGTTGATTCTTACGGGCGCACGTTGAGTAGTTTTGTTGTACCAACTTGCCCCACTCACTATTATTTTCAGTTTTTTTTTCTGGGAATTAACAAGAAAGCCTATGTTAAACTAAAAAATTTTTTGAAAGCCAGGGTAATCTCTTTTATGTACTACATTTTAATTGTTTTAATCTTTGGTAAACATAACAACATAAAATTTTAAATTTTGTATATAAAACATACCACCTTTACTTTACTTCATACATATTTACTATAGAAAAGTACAAATATTACTTTACGTCGTAAACTACTCTGTATATAAGTATTTCTGTTTAACCTAGACAAACCAAAAACAAAATTGATAAATTCCGAGACCAAAAATCTGATTTCTTCAAAAAGCGTTGTGACAAGTGATATGGCTGTGAAAAACACGGTTGTTAATGTGTAATAATTCAACCGAAACGATAAGACAAACTAACGTAAACTTAAAATAAAAATAGTTTGACGTTGCTTAGGTAGAGAACGGTTGTGAATCATGAAGATATTGTTCTTTCTGGCCGTGTACAGTTTTGTCGGACTTGGGCTTTGTGAGGTAAAGAAAGTTTTGTGATAAGAATTCAAAATTATACTTTTTTTTGTAAAATATGTTTTTATGAAGTTTCTTGTTGTTTATATAAATATATAGAGGTGGTATAGTAGGAGTGGAAAATGAAGAGCAAACTATTTACTTTGATATATTCAGGACCCCCTAATAGTAACAACAACACCAGTAGATGTTGAGGTTCGAGAAGAGATCGGAAAAGATTTGGACAAGATTTTGACATCACATAAAGCCGTGCTGTTCTCCAAAACGTACTGTCCATTTTCGAAAGCTTTGAAAGGGATCTTGGGCTCATACAAAATTGATGACTTACACATTGAAGAAGTCAATTTGAGAGGTGATATGAAGAAGGTTCAGGTAAGAAGTTTTCCAGTTTTAGAAAATATTGTACTCTACTCTAACTCCTCTACAAATTGCCTTAGTGTTGCCATAAACTTACTCTATTCAACATTAGCTTCACCACATCCTTGCTCTAGGTCTACCTCACCCTTACTATCAGGTTGAACCAAAAATAGCGGGAAACTTTTCAATTGAAAAATAAATGAAAAGTGTCCCGCTACTTTTAATTCAATTTAATATTGCCTTACTTACCTTTACCCTAGCCTATTATAGGACGAACTTCAAACTCACAGTCACATTCACACCGTGCCTCAATTTTATCTGAACGGTGAATTCGTTGGGAATTATGACAAAGTGCACAAATTGGAAAGAGATGGAAAGTTAAGACAGATTTTGGAAGATGCTGGGGTTGTACCTAAACATTAAAATACAATGGCACACCGCAAAAGGACTCTTGTATAACAAACTCTTGTATAACGAACTTTGATATTACGAAATTTCTGTATAACGGACAACCTTTGGAGACTCATACAACACTGTACAGCAGATTTTCAACTCTTGTCTACCAAGACTTTCTTTATATCTAACAAATTTGGAAATCTTGACATGTTATACAGCAGACTTAATGTATTTACCTGTAAACTTAAGTTGTAATGTAAATTTGAAGCATAATTAATTATGAATAAACTATTATTAAAATTTTACATTTTATAGTTTTTAATTTTTAAAAAATATTTTTTTTTACTTTTTAAACTTTTCAAAACAGTGTGTTTTAAAAATTTTGAAATTTTTCAAAAAGCAAAAAAAAATTTTTTAATTTTTAATGTATGTTAACGATAAGACTTTATAAAATCAAGTTTTCCATTTTAAAAGTGCGAAACAGCCAAAAGTTATGCATAAAGTGCCAATAATCTAAAAAATTTGAATGCATTATCTTTGGGATATTGAAATTCGAAACGGGCCCTTTTCTACTTAATTAAGACCGCTTTGTTTAAACCTCCGGTCACCTCTTTACGAACGGCAATTGTGATCGGGTCATCCGGCTCTATAAAGCGGTTCGTATTTCCTGAAAAGCGGGTTTGATTTTTGTATCTTGGGGTTTACTACAGCAATCTTTGGTTTTTTTCAGTTTTTTTAAACTTTTTTTGTTTTTTATTAATAAGCTCGAGCTTTAGCCTAAAAACTTTTAAAATTTCAGTCGTATTTTACAAATTAAGAAATTTTAACACTTTTTAAAATTTTAGGTAAATGACATAGCATTTGATGACAAATTAACTATAATCTTGAACTACCTCATAATCTCAACTTAAAACGTCATCTATTTACCTCCCTACCATGATATTCCGAGGTAACCAAACCCACACCCCTCAGCATAATCAGCCTTCAACTTCCACCACCCCTTCTTTATCAAAGCATCATGCTCAATCAACGACTCTACAGCCCAAGACTTCATTACCGAGCTTACCTCCTCACAAACCTCACAAAACATATTCTGGAAACTTGAGTTTGAATCCACTGACTGCTTCACAACTCTTGGAGGCAAATAAAGCCAGAAATGAATCACCATATTCAATGGAGAACAGCACGTTCTTGGCTGAAGGGTACACTGAAGATGGAGTGTTGAGCAAGTATGACAATGTAACAAGGTAATTCTTATTGATTTTGAATTAAAAATCAAAAAATAGGGTAAAGTATGGATAGGTAGGACTATAATACGGCGAGGTACTTCTATGATAGAGTTAAGAATACAATATGAGTATGGGACGGCTAGGGTGCAAGGCAAAAGTAGAGCAAAGCTTGGACAGGGTTAGACTTGAAGAATATGCCAAGCCTAGCCTGAGTGTTAAAATTTAAATTTTGGTTAGAACCGGCCCGGTTTACACAAAATATATGCAGGGTAAGTTATGGAAATGTAGGGTAGGGTAAGGTAGGGTAGGGTAGGGTAGGGTAGGATAGGATAGGGTAGGGTAGGGTAGGGTAGGATAGGGTAGGGTAGGGTAGGGTAGGGTAGGGTAGGGTAGGGTAGGGTAGGGTAGGGTAGGGTAGGGTAGGGTAGGTTAAGGTAGGGTAGGGTAGGGTAGGGTAGGGTAGGGTAAGGTAGGGTAGGGTAGGGTAGGGTAGGGTAGGGTAGGGTAGGGTAGGGTAGGGTAGGGTAGGGTAGGGTAGGGTAGGGTAAGGTAAGGTAGGGTAGGGTAGGGTAGGGTAGGGTAACAAAAAGTTCCATTTATAACTCAAAAAGTCTAGCATAAACTTTTTTTGGCATTTTTTTTTGCATTTTGACATAATCCTGTAATTGAATCAAACATTGAGGAGTGTTAATTCGAAGAGGATGAACACCTGATCATTTTGCAATCTGCTGAAAACAAAAAAAATTTTTCGGATTTTCTTTTTGCTTCAAACGCATTCGAAAAGGTTAACTATTACTTTTATGAGGCTTTTACTATGTTTTACCGTACTAATTTAAACGTATAAGTGCTTGTACTATATTTATAGTTGCTTTGTAGTTGTTTTTGAAGATTTTGCTTTAATATTGGTTTTAGTACAGGTAGGCTTTTTGGGTATTGTTATGTTTTTTTTTCAAAAAAGTTAACAAAATTAAAAAAGCATTTTTAGGCCGTCTTTTTCTGAACTGCCTTAAGATTATACTTACTTACATTATGTTGTTCAAATCGTTGTGTGCCCCTCAACTGTAAAAATTTACATTGTGAGATGCACAGAATTATGTGAGCAACATAATAATAGCCGAAACCACCTAAAACGTTTTTTTCATATAACCTTAAACGCCAAATACCCCCCCCCCCCCCCCCCCCCTCAATACCTTATATTACTCACCCTACTCACTAAAACCTTTTTCTTTTCAAAAAAACCATAAAAAGTTGACAAAGTAAGGCTCGGGATCTAAAATTAGTAATCGAAAAGACTTCGAAACGGATCAGCCAAGGATCTAATTAAACATTTGTCAAAAGTTTCGATGACGTCCAACTTAAAAGTCCAAAAACAACTGAAAATTGTGTTTTTTGGCTGGCAAAAAGCGTCTGAGGTTTGGCTATAACAACAAGGTGGTAGGGTTTGGGTTTGACAATAAGGTGACAACAGTTTTTTTGAAAAAGTCGTAGCATACAACTTTAGCAAATTTTAATTTTTTTTTATTTTAAAAAATATTTTTGTTATTAATTTTAGAAATTGGGGTTTTACCTTAGAAATTGGGGTTTTAACTCATTTCGTTACCTAAAAAATTATTTATTTATTTAACCTGCCCCACTCAGAATCAGCTCACAATTTTTATATGAATTCATTGTACCGCCAATAGTACCGATAAAAATTTAGCTTGCGCTTTTGAGTTTTAAATTTAAACTATTTGAAATTTCCGCCAATTTACTAAATTTGGCATTGTGTTTCAAGCACTTTTTTTTACTTTTCAGACAGGCTACGTTTACAAATTAAAAAATGTAAGTCTATCGAAAGGTTTTCTACTGGTATAACAAAGAAAGGTAATTAAAATTCAAAAAATGCCAAAGTTATAAGCTTGAAACACAATGCCAATTTAGCGGAAAATTCAAAAATGTAATTTTTTATTTCGATTTTCTTGAGATTGGCTAAAATGACTGATTTAGTGCTTTGCTTAAGATCTTATATTTACATGATCTTTTTATAAAAAAATTTTTTAATTAATCAGAGTAGATCGGGCACTTTCTTTGTAAGGTTTATTTAATCTTGTTACCTAAAATAATAATTTCGGTGCTTTAAGGTCAAAATTATCTATCATTTTTTTAGATCTATGATTCTCCTTTAGAAATAACAAACTTTTCAAAAATTTTGCACTATTTCATACCTAAAACAATATAAATTGATGTTGCCAACCCCTGCTTCCTTATGCCATGCTATAAAGAATGTTTTGTTATAAACATGTTGTTTCTTGAAAGTTTTGATATAAAAAAAGCAATTTAAACGTAAAATGTTTCTCAAACGTCGAATTTTTTAGGCCAATCTCGTCGGCTTCGGCCGCCTTGGAAGAGACATTAAATTCACTTAGTCTTCACGGTAAAATTGATGACAATTTGTCGTTTGCATCCGCACAGGTGAGAGTTTTGTTGTTTTGGTTAGGTATTGTAGTTGGTATTGCACGTCATGCCAAAAGAGGAAATAAAGACAAAGTGACATTTCGTGTAAAAAACGATGCGAAGTGTGAAATTATATTTTATTGCAAAAAATTCGTTGAAATTGAGCGGCCGGAATTTTCAAAATAAAAGAATTTGTGTTACATTTCTTTTCATATCTGGACCATTCTTTCACGGATCAAGGCCATTTTGACCTTCAAAGAATCGCCAAAACACAGAAAAATTGCTAATATTAGTTACAGCACAAAATTTGATTTAGTTTAGTATTTGATAATTTTACACGTTTTATTCAACATTTAAATATTTATTTTATTTTTTGAATCAATATTTGCGACTTTTGAGTTAACGAAATGCCACAACCACCTTATTTCCATTTTTCTCTTATTTTGGCATGACGTGTATTGCAAAAATAAGCTTATATTGTACTTGTAAAGGGGCGGCTTGGGCTGTGGTTGAGCAGAAGCCGGACCGATGCCGGGTTAAAACCGTGTCGAAGCCGGGCTAAGGCCAGCTCAAAACCGGGCCTACGCCGAGGCAAAGCCCGGCTAAAGCCGGGCTGAAGAGGAAAAGACAAAACCGGTTCTGAATCCAGGTCAAAGCCGAGCCGTAAGCCGAGGCCGGGCCGGATCTAGGGGTGCTTCTTTAGGTCCAAGTTGGTACTATAATTTTTATAACAGACTGATTTACCTTGTTTTAGATGATAAACCAACACCGGGTAAATTTTTCCAATGGAAAACAAAGCGGAGCTTCAGATGAGCAAAAGAAACATGCTCCGAGGCCTAAGGGCTTTCTCAAATTGGTAAATTCTAAATTTTTTTGATATTTTAAAGGCATTTTAATCACTAAATCAAGTATAATATTTAAAAAATTTTTTATATACGCACATTTCACGTATTTTACAATAGATGTAATGGTAAAATCCCATTTTACAGCAGAAGTAATGGCAAAATATGCCTAAAAGTTTATTAGAATCTACAAACTTTATGCCATATCTTTATATACTTGTTCATTTAGCTCATCTACTACTGCCAAAAGCTTCACCAATTTCGAGTACTAGGCCCATGGATACTATTACTCTTCTACTCCCTCATTGGAGCTGTCGTATTCTACTGTGTAGAACACGAACATGAACAAGATTTATTTCAGTAAGTTTTTTATCAACTTTTTACTATATTTTTTAGTAACGTGTATTGAAAAAGATTTTTTTTCATTTTCCCAACCTTGCTCTACTCTATTGTAAGTTTTACATATCAAAAAACATATAGTAAGTCCATTTCTGTCAAAAAAGATAAAGTCCAGTAAGCTCATTTTATTGTTTTTGTTTTTAGTGTTAAAAAATGTCATTTTTTCTTTTTCAGACGAGAACAAGATATGATTGACAATCTCCGAAATCGAACAATCAGACAATTGGCCGAGATCATGTCACATCCAAGTTATAGTAAAACAACAAAGTCTTTTCAGGCTAGGTAAGGCATTTTTAAAAGAAAAAAGCGAAAATTTCGCCAAATTTAATTAAATTTAAAATTTTAGTAAAATTTTTTTAAAATTTAAAATTTTTGGTTGCACTAATGTTTTCTCTGGCATGATCCAGCGTATAACATGTCCTTTGAGGAAAAAGACGTGAAAAGTGCATAAAATTTAACATTTCCTTTACATTATTGTTGAATAGTCAAGAAAATCGACGAATTTCGGTTGAATTTTGATGTTCTTGACGTAAATTAATAATTTCAGGTTTAGCTAACCATTACTAAATCATTTTCAATAGTTCTTACTTTAAGGTACTTTAATTTTCATAAAGAATTAAAAGATTTTTCGTCGAGTATTAATAAAAATTTTGACAATTTCAGAGACGCACTGGTATCATTCCAAAACGAAGTCCAGAAAGTGAAACTTCCCGAAGCTTTAGAATGGGACATGTGGGGAGCTTTATTCTACGTTGGCACCGTCTTCACCACCATTGGCTATGGTAATATTACGCCGCGAACCACGACCGGTCAAATATTGAGTATCTTCTACGCGGTTTTTGGAATTCCATTGGTGTTGGCCATTTTATCCAAGACTGGCAAAGATATGACGGATATGTTCAGTCGAAAGTGGATATTGTATCGACATTGGATCAAGAAGACGCATCGACAACATAAGATCAGGAGGAAAAGCAAGACATCGGAGATTCATTTGATGGAAGGAGGGAGGATAAAGTAAGATAATTAAGGTTTTTGGGTGTTAATTTTGGTTGCGAATGATTAATATAGGTTTTTATAGTTGGTTATAGGTTGTTGGATTGTATATTGGCTGCTTCATATTCAGTTTGAGATTTTATTGACTTAAAATCTGTTGTTTTAGCTAAAATAAGGTCGTTTTTGCCCAAAAATACAAGGTTTTGAGTCTTTTTGAATACTAAAAATTATTTTTTTACTGGATAAGATAATGTAAAATACGGCATATATCTTTGGTCGTATAATTTTCGTAATTCAGTGACCCCCTATCAACATCAATGGCATCAAGTGGTATAGACGACACCAAGTCCGAGCTAGAAGAAGAACTCGAATCCCGAACAATACCCATATGGCTGGCTTTGTTCGTATGCTTATCGTACATCTGCATCTGTGCTGGAATGTTTTGTATATGGGAGAAGAAGTGGTCTTACTTTACGTCATTTTACTTCATCTTCATATCATTATCAACCATCGGGCTGGGTGATGTTGTGCCAGAATATCCGAGGATGTTGATTGTAATGTTTGTGCTGGTTATTATTGGATTGTCGATTGTTAGTATGCTTTTGAGTGTTATTCAGGTAAAGAAATGGTTTTGCAGTTTTTTGGTTTTTAGGTTTTGCACGGTACAATCGGAAAGGATATTGTTTTGCACTGTGCGCCCACTGTGCATTTACCTTTTGAGAAAATATGGGCCAAAGAGGATATAAAAATTGTAGATTAACAGTTCTTATGAAATTACAAGAGAATAAAAGTTATTTTTGAAATTTATTTTTTTGAAATTTTCAGATAAAAATGGAGGAATTCTTGTACAGTTTGATCATGGAAATGCAAAAAGAGTATAAGGAAGCCTTGGACAGTGGAGATTTCGAAAAAGCAGCTGAATTACTGAAGGAATGTAAAGAAAACCCTATCTTACAGGACATTGCTCCACATTTCATCAATAATGATAAGATTCAGGCTATTGAGGAGCAGGTAAGATACCTAAAACATATTTTTATGGAGATTTGTTTAGTTTTGAAAAGAATTTTTTACCCTTTCTTGACCTGCCAAGAAAGTTTTGCCATTTTTAGCTTCTGTAAATAAAGTCATTGCCATTTTTGGACTGTAAAGAAAGTTTTTGAATTATTTTTGAGAGTTTAAATGATTTTTAAATTTTTTTCCAGATTGAAACCTTTGAAAAAGTGATAAAACCAATGAATACGAGAATGGTACAAACTGAAGATCTGGACAGTATAATGACAAATGATATCAGCATCAGCGATCCGAAGGAAAATGATCGGTTTTTGAATTTGGTAAATATTTTTTAAATTGTTGTTTAGGATGAGCTTGGGTTTTTGAATAATTTGAAGAATATTATTTTCGGGACGGGATTTTACATAAAAATAACATTTTTGAAAATGATAGTTATATAGTAGATTGAACTTAAACTTGGTTTTACGATTACTGTAACATTTTTTACAGAGAGACGCATCAACAGCAGTCAGTTCGAATCTTCATAAGATAACAGAAGAAGAAAGTGAGACAGATAACCAGGATTTGATAGACAACTTCAAAATCGATCAAGAAAACGTTCAACATGAGAACGGTTATGTCACAGCTCCTCACAGTTTTGTGAATAGGGATGTAACGGATTCCGAGTCGATTTCAGACATTACCTCATTGCCGTTGGACCCTGTAAAGTAAGTTTTTGTAAAATACGTCTTCCGTAGCTGTGCGAATTTTTTTTGGTAATGGATGGATACCTATAGCAGTTTATAAAAGTTTTAAGCATGCAAATTTTTTTTGAACATATTGTAATAGATATTATACTAAAGTAATTTCAGCTCATTGTACCGAAGTAAATTGGAACAGTCATTGACAAACGAGCTCAATGATTATATGAATGATGAAGAGCTATCGAACAGTTTGTTCAATACTCCAGACGATTCTGGCAAATCCGTGATCAGGAAAGAGCTTCACGACCAGTCGATTAGCTGCTCACTTTGGAAACAGGTAGGATAAGGATTTTTGGAGAAAAATACGTACTGTTACACAAACAAATTTTGATTTTTAAAGTTTGTGGATGTTAAGTTTACAAAGAATTTACAAGATATGAAACTTTTAAAAATGTTGATGATTAAGCTTTAAAATTACAAAAAAGTTTTAAAAAATTGGAGAGTGCTCGTATCAATTACCGTTTTATTCATTATTAACAAACATCCTTATCTGTACAGTAACTCTCTTTTTGTCATTAGTATAGTATTCTACAATTTCGCTTTTGCCCTGTGGCAATTGTAAACGTCATCACCAAGACATCGTCTAATAAACGCATCTGTCGTCGTATGATACTCTCTCTTGTGTGTCAAAAAGTGCATACAATGAATTCCCTCGTCGAACTGTTTCAATTCCACTGATTTGCCATTCTCAAACTGCTTCTGCGCGAATGCCTTCATACAGTGAGGTTTAACCAACCGGTCGATTTTTGAGTGTAAAAACAGTTGATTCTTGGGTAGATCGAAATTCTCCATTCGCGCGGAATACTGGTCGAAAAAGCCGAACTGAATGAGGATACTGTAGAGAATGGAGCGAGGTATATGGGTGGGGAGGTGGTAGAACCAGTAGTTGAGCGAGGTCTTTTCTTCTTTGGGTAACATGAAGAAGCGCGCGTTGATGTAGCAGCTGGGGCAGGAGGAGAAAAGGCCTGGTGAACTGAAAGATATTGTGTTTGGTTGGTTTTGCATGTTTATAGAGTTTAGCCTCAGGCAGTGTGATTTTGGTCTGGAGGTGGGGGTCGAATTTTTTCTATTTCTTTCAAAGGTTTAAAGGACCTAAGGTACCTACCCTACATTGCCATACCATACAAAATCTACCCGACTTTTCCCTACGATCTTACCTTACCCCGCCTTACCCTATCATACCTTACATTACGCTATTACCCTAATTAACCCTGTCCTAACTTTTTTATTCTACTCTCTTTCCTTAAGCTACTTTTCTCTACGCTATCATTCTATACATACTGTTTTATACAGTAATGCCATTTAAAATCTTACCCATCAAAAGCGATCCCCTTGATCTGTTTCTTTTGTGCTTCAGTAAGCTTTAGCCATAGGTAATAGAATTGGAATCCGCCATTCTGACTGAACATGTGTATTATCACAGGTGAATTTGGTTTTTCTTTAATCTTAGGTAGATATATTTCGTCTATAAACAAGTTGCCTTTATCTCCAGAAGGCCAGAAATGCTGATTGTAGAGTTTGGGTACATGGACTGTGACGTCATTTCTGAAATTTAAAATTTAAGTTCGTATTTCCATTTTAGTAATGTAATTTTGGCTGTAATTTGGGTTTGATAGCTATGTTCAAAATTTTTAGTGGCAGCTTAGTAGCTCATTAATTTTTGAACAGCCTAATATTTTTCAAACAAAAACACGAAAATTTTTTTTGTTAAAATTGTTGCAGCAAAATTCAGTTTCTTTGTGATAAATCATCTTTGCATCATGTTACTTTAATATTATTATCTTTAAAGGTTAATGATCAGTTTCAATTAGATAAAAAGATAATCGCGCTGATGTATGGAAAATAAAATGCGGAACAAGATGTAAACCAAAGTCACAGAATTTTGTGTATTCTGACTTGTGACTTGTGGGTGATTTCTCAAAAATGATTTTCTTTTTGTATCTTTATACTATGCCTTTTGAGCAGGTTTTTAGGTAGGACAGGGCATTAAGGTTTTTGCGTTTCTAGGTAGGGCAGGAAGTTAAGGGTTTTGCTGGGCTTGGTTTGTACCCAAACTTTCAAAGTTTGGTTAAATTTGAATTTCGAAAAGCTGTAAATAGGGGCGACTGAATAAACTGCCTGGGCTAGACTTGAAAGGACTTTGGCTCCGTATCGGACTGATAAAGGCTGGGCCGGGCTAATGCAGATGTTAAAGGAGCTAAGACGACACACATAACCCCGAGGGCCAATGCGCAAATTAAGGGCTAGGGCGAAAAATTGGACCTGGTCCTTTTACAGGTATAGGCTAGGCTTTTTTTCTGGCCCAGAGGTCGTCATGACTATTGGCCTAGAAATTTTGCCATTTTAAAAAGTTTTAAATGAAAAAAGTAAAAATAAAAAAAATATTTTGCTTAATGGCAAACGTGCCTCGGAGTTTTTTATACCCTAAAAAACTGAAACTTACGTGTATTTTTCGTATAATTTCTTCAGTGTGGCATAGTGAAACTCTTTACTGTTTAAAAAGCCCAGAATGAAAACTATTGGTGAACAATCCTCACATCGTGGTTTATCCATTTAAAACTAATATCGATATAAAACAATCTAAAACAACATTTTTAATACAAGTTTAAATGTAAACGTAACTCCATTTTAAAAACACGAGTTAAGAACGAAAGATAACAAATAGGAAAACAATACTAAATGGAAAAGGGCTATTAATAAGCTTAAAGCAGAAAATAGTAAAAAAAGGTTTTGTCGGTATTTTCTGTGATAATTCCATCTTAAACGACCCTACAATTGATTTTTTAATCTCAAGCCATATTTTCCCCTTTAGACATAAACAACACTCCAAGTTTAAAAACGCCGTGACGTTATGACAAAAAATGATTCAAGATCAATAGTTTTTACCATCTTTTGAATCACCTCTCCCACAGCTTACAAGCCTTTTACTGGTCATAAGCAGTTAATATGTTTGTTGTTATCTAAAAGTGCAATTGAACGCTGAGACGATTTGACAGAACGGTGAGACGATCAGAAAAGTTGTAGTAAACGAGCTGGCCGTTCCCTAAACGGCTTTCCTTTGTTTTCAACTTATTATTAAACATTGATGTACAGTAAAGCGGCGACGGCGGGTTTAACAAGGATATTGTTGTATTGTAAGGTGTCTGAGCGTGGTGAGGCTTTTGTAGTATAGTCAAGTGATTGTTAAGAATGGTGTGATAGAAAGTGTCTGGTATTATTTGAGAAGGTAGATGAGTAGACTTTAGAAAAAGAGGAGTAGACTTTGAAAGTAGAGTAGTTAGAATTTTTAAAACTGAACTTGGCCCCAATGTAAATATTTTTTAAAATAACTTTTTTGGTAGCTAAAGAAACAACGGGTTTTCCAAGTATGGATGAGCCAAAAATTTTTCAACGAATAAAATTAAATTTTGAAAAAAGCGAAGTGATGGTTTTTTTAAAATATTTTATGGCACAATCGCTGCGTTCTAACGATAAGATATGGCTATTGAGTACGTTATTTTAAAAAATCAGGGTTAATGCTCACCTATATTTGGACAACCATATAGACGATAAAATAATGATACCTTGTAAAAATAAATAGAGCTCAAGAAATCAAATGCACATCAAAATAAAAAAAAGATGACATGCCGCAGCATTTTTTCCAAAAAGATGATATGTCATAAACTTTTTAAGAAATTTTAAAGACGTAAAAAATACCGTGAGAATTAGCGCATTTAAACGGATTTTAATCATGTCTGCGTTTGTCGTAATTGATAATTATTAGAAAAAGGGAGATATAAACAGCGGTCAAGTTTAGTTCGTACAGCTCAAGCTACGTATTCTTGCCGGAAGCGCTAGAATACGAATGTCGTATCAGTTTCTATTGATGATACAAGAAAAATTTCTATTAGAATTTTATAAAGTAGATGTTGCTCAGGTTAAGATTGAACAAAAAGTAGTAGTTTATAAAGGTTAGGGTGTTGAGCATAGAAAATCGACACTGTAACATAGACTTAAAAGTATTTAACATCCACAAAAATATTATGTTGTTCAAATAATTCTGTGCAATATAACCTCGAAAATTTTCTTTAAGAAGGGAACTTATTTGAACTACCTAAGAGTTTAGAATCTTCAAAATCTAATATCATTGAGCTTTTATCGTAACTATTTAAATGTTGCCATCCGCGTAGTAAACCGGGGTGTGGTTTCTCAAAAAAAAGATATTTTTAAACATTTTCCTTTTATCACTAGCCTCAGAATTCTTTATCACTAACTTTAAAATTTTATCTTTACCATCTAACCCATATTCTCTATCTGTTTCTCCTATTCAATTTATGCCTTATCACTATCATCACTCTATCACTTGAAAAAACCTATGTATCGCTACTCTATATCACTTTAACAAACCCTTGTATCACTACAAATCACTACTGTTAAACTCATGTTGTATCATCGACATTAAATAGCAATACAAAGCAAAAACCAAAAACATGGTTTGATGTTGTAGTAGCGGCTATCCCATCTTGTTTACAACAATATGCAACGTTTCCAATTCCGACCCACCACCTTCAAATGATTAATTACAATTAAGCAATAATTCGATTTGACTGTTTTATGAGCGGAGTTGGGTGATAAGCGTTCTCTGTTGTCTGCGAACCGAAGGAACAGAACACAGCGTGTGTGGTGAATGTAGTATAGGCGGATATTGTTGTGATTTAGGTGTATGAAGTTCGTTTTTCAAGTTTTGTGATTGAGTTTGTTGGTGAGGAAGTGTTGTAAGGCAGTAGAACCCTCATTATGCAGAACATCAAGTGGCCCCCCTGTGAATCTTGGAAAAATTTTTTTGCAAAAAAGCGGCACAGGTAGCTAGTCCCCGCCCGCCCCTGATTATAGTCAAACCTCTTAAGTATGACACTCAAGCGAATGGACCAAAATGTCAGTATAACCAGGGTATCACACTATCCAGGTAATTTTTGATAGGATTTCTATTACACAGAGGGGTCAAAAAGCTGTTATTATAAAGAGAGTGTCATACTATCGAGGGTCATACTAAAGAGGTTTCACTGTGCTTTTTCTACCATAATTTGAAAGAATTTAGTTGTAACCCTTGTCTTATTATTTTTTGTTTACTGATATGTAAGACGGTAATTACTGTACCTAAAGCAGAGAGAAAAGCGGCGCGGTCAACTCTTGAGCAAATAAGTGTAAAGTAATTGCGCAGTAGTATGCGCTAAATTAACTAGTAAAACCTATCACACTAAAAACCTTGTGTAATACCCGGAATCCGGTACAAAAAGCAAAAGACCAAGGCTACGGTAGGGAAGGCGGAATGTTACGGTAGCTTAAACTAATATTCAAACGTCATAAGGAGGAGTACGGTAGTTTGATCTAGTATTGTAAAATCAAAATATAAATGGAAATTTAGTAAACAGCAAATGGTAGTCAGAAAATGATGAAAGGCTGTAGTTTCGAACAATATTACTCTATCAATATATTACTGTCAAGCCTTTAGTTTTACAGCTCAAAATACTTTGTTCAAACGGCACGTGAGAAGCATTTTTTGTTACAATCGAACCATCTTTTCTTTGTTTACAATATAGATAGATGGGGCTCGGTTTTTATTTTTTTATAACTTTTAAAAAAGTTGTTTCGAAATTCAAAACATTTTAAAAGTCAACCTGCAAAAGAGCTATAAATTTGAAATCAAAAAATACTACTAAGGAAAGTATCCAACCTTCCCCACACAGAATAATTTCAAAATTTTTATATATAAAGGTTATGTAAATGTAAGATCTGCAACAAAGTATTAAATTGAGCTTTTCAGTCAATCTCGAGAAATTCTAGATCAAAAAATTACGTTTTGAATTTCCTGCCAAATTGGCATTGTGTTTCAAGCTTATAACATTGTCATTGTTTTTTCACTTTTAATTATTTTTCTTTTACATACTAGTAGAAAAACCTTAAATGTTCCTACGTCTTTACATTTGTAAGCTTAGGTAGTCTGGGAAATCGACAAAGTGCCTGAAACACAATGCCAAATTTTCCATTGTTGAAAAACAAAAGCGTAAGCCAAAATTGTTTGTGGGTACTATTGGTGGTTCAAAAAATTTATGTGAAAATATTGAGCTGGTTTTGAGCGGGGCAAGTTGGGCACCTTCCTTGTAAGTTGAAATCAAAGAAAACAATACAAAATTAAAAAACTTAATTGTCAAAAAAATGAAAAAAGCAACTTGACCCTATTGATCAAGAAAGTGTTTCCATGTGCAGACTGATAACAAGGTTTAACAAATCAACTCGAATTTCAAGAACAGAGATCGTGACGTTATCGCGAACTTTGAAATATATTAAACTAGGTATATTTCATTGGGTCTTTACCTAATTGGAACAATATACTACAAAATTTGTTGGCTAGTTTTGCGCTTTTAATTGTTGGTAGGTTTATATGTCTTTACTTAAAGAATGACATTTGTAAAACTTATAAACAATTTTGCGTCAAATCTTGTAAAAAGTGGCATAACACAAATTTGGCCACTAAAAGTATAACTGTAAAGTCCACAAAATTTACGCAACTGTACTGAAACATAAAATCGCAAGTCGTAAGGCTACAAACTATCAATATCAGTGGTCAAACCGTAAACAAATTTTGCTTGTTTATTTATATTTACCGATGAGCACAAGAAATCATAAGTAAACATGTTTCACGTTTTTTCGAGATGACTTTGGTGATTTTTAAAGCTTCAGCGTAATTCAAGGGTTTTTGCAAAAGTGCAGAAGCAAAAAGAACTTTATTATGGTATTAGGTGCCTGCAAAAGTTTTAGGCCAATTTTTCTAAAATTTACCAAAAAATTCTGGACAGTTCTAGAACTTTCTGTTGATAACCTATATAAAGAGGTGTCCAAAGACTAAAAACTATTGCATGTTCAAGCTTTCTGTTGTTTACGGTGGTTCAAGAAATCAAGGTGAAACATGGTCATGTTAGGGTAATGTTTCTTTGCAAATTCCGTGAGCACGGCGACGCAACAAGAGCGACGAAGGAAATATGCAGTGTTGTAGGGTCTTCAGTTGTCTCTTACGACACCACAAAAGTTTGGTTCCACAAGTTCAAAGACGGTGACTTTGACATGTCCGAAAAGTTCGATCTGGTAGACCATCAGTGTTGAAGAAACCCCACCTTCTGACGCTGATGGAAGAAGACCCCAAACGAACCTGTACTCATTTGACTTTAGAGCTTCAGTTTGATCCCTCTACCATATTAACTAGACTTCACGTCCTTAGAAGATGATGGAAATATGGTCAAGAAGTTCCACATGATTTCAACAGCGACCGCCTGAAACGCTAAGTGGAAGTTGCACTTATTTGTTGACGTTCCCAAGGACCTTTGCATGGCTTGACAATTTAGTTACTGGGGATGAGTAGTGGGTAATCACACCATGAAGAAACAATGGTGTGGACTTAGAGAACAGGATGTATCAACTCCAAAACCTGATCTTGACCCACTGGTGGGATGTTCAATGTTTGGTGAAACTCAACAATTATTGTATCCTGGGAAATGGTACCACATGGAACTACGATCCCTGTGGAAGTCTACTGTAATTAACTCTGTTGCGGCAGCATTGCATGGTAAACAGGACCGGGTCTTCTTGATTCATGATACTGCTCGCGCCTATGTGACAAAGTTGACCCAGCACAAGCTGAAAAGCCTCGGCTGGGCTGAGATGCCGCATGCACTGTACTCAACTGATGTTGCGCCTACAGATTATAATTTGTCCCACTCTCTTCAAAACCACCTGAACGCAACACGCGTTGACAATCGAGAGAACCTCAAGAGATGGCCGACTAACTTTTTCAATTCTAAATCTCCAGGTTTCTACAGAAGTTGAATTCAAATAGTGCCGAAGGTTTGGCAACAGGTCGTCGGTAGTAATGGTACATATATTTGTTAATTAGTTGTTGTTGTTTTTTTTTAAATATTAAATTTTGTTATAAACAAAAGTTGGCCTAAAACTTTTGCAGGCACCTAATAAATTAGAAAAAAATAACAAAAATTTAAAGAAGACTATCTATACTTAAATTGAAAAAAAAATGAAGTCAAAACCCATGTTGGCAGTATTTATACTGTAGAAAAGCCAATTACCGCAAAATAAAAATGTGGCGATTGAATTATGATAACTATCAAAAAGAACGTCGTATAAGTATGTCAAAATCAATATCATATGGTAGGGCTCAATTCATAATGTTCTAATTGTTTCAAACTGCAAAATGAAAAAAATTGACCGCATTGATCTAACGATCAAATAAAGTTTAAGAGGTCATTGCTTTTGCAGGAGAAAAGTGGAAACGGGAATGGTCTTTGAACATTAATAATTACGAACTGATAGTGTAGCTTATTCTTTAAAGATTTCTTACTGTATTGTAGGTACCACTAATTGAAATTACAGCGAAACGTCTTTAGTATTATTCTCGATATTATGAAATCTTCTTTATAATAACTGAATTCGGTCCCATCTTTGTAATAGAACTGCTATCAAAAATTATCTGGATAGTGTGACACCCTGTTTAAAAGGACAGGCTTGGAGAATTTTCTTGAGTGTAACTCTAAAGAGGTTTGCCTGTAACACTACTATTATTATATTAGTAGTACTATTAGTATATTAGTACTACGATTAGTAGATCATTACTACTATTAGTATACTATTACTAGTCTGGGTACGTAAAACAAACAAGTATTGATTTCAGCGCCGTTCCGTACTAGTTACAGTACTTTTTTTATTCGTAGTACTCCCTAAACCACTTTTAAGTAATTAACCCGAAGGATGAAAGTTTAAAGTTGGAGAATGCTTATCAATGAAAGACGGCTGAAAGTCATGCCTTGAAACATTGTAATCAAAGCCCCCTCCAATTCTCTAATTTAGCGGAGAAGCCATGTGTTTGATGTTTAAAGGTTCAATGAAATCACAGCGTATTTTGGTTTTTTTGATGAAACTGATAAATCAAAAAATAGTTTTGGTAGGAAAAACTTTGCAAAAATGTAAAGGGCATGTTACAGTAAGACGAAGGTCATGCTTTTGAGCTTTTGTTAAAAATAATTGATTCATTACGTTTATCGAATGATATTGTAGTAGACTATTTTTAGGTATTTTTTGTAAAAATTTCGAAATTCATTGTTTTGTTAAATTTTACAGATTTAAATTGGCATGAAAATAGAAATTAAGATAGATTAAATTAAGAGGCTTGATTAAAACTACACTTCCTGTTACAAAGTTCAGAAAATAATCGGAGTTTCGAAAACCAAACATCTTCAGGGAATACTGAGAAACCTGCCGATTGTGTTACAACAAGTTTAATTACTGCAAAAAACGCAAGAACAATCATTTAACATCATTATCAGAAAATCGGAAAAGTCACGTTCTAATTTTTATTCGATTTCTCATTTGTATTTAACACAAAAAGTCACGATAACAGAAAGGGTTAACAAGTAGATCACAGATAGATACAGAATTATGCTTGAGCGATGTGAAATTGAATACAATAGATGTAAACAAACTTAGTTATAACCAATACAATTAACATATATTAAAAGTACAGCAACACTTTGGTGTACTTAAACTAATGAAAATGAATTTTTGTTATGTAGTGTAGGGTAAAATACGTCAGGGCGAATTAGGAAAGGGCAGGGTAAAGCAGAAAAAAGCAGGGCAGACGGCATGACATGATAGGATAGGGCAGGGCAAAGCAGCGAAGTGCAGGATAGAACAATGCAGGACGAGGCATTTTATTAATATGGTAGGAAAAGGCAGAGCAGAAAAAGTCGAGGTAAGACAAGGCAAAGCATGCAGGGTATGGCACGGTAGGGGAGTTTATTGCTAATTTAGGGCTGAGGTGGAGTTAGGGTAAGGCATGTTAAAGTAAGCTATGAGTATTCTAATTTTTAGTACGTAAAAACCAACACAAACACGAAATTTTTATACCCGGTTTATTGACAATAAAAAATAAAATGCAACAAATAATGACTACTTAACTACTATTAAAACTAAGTTACAATGTCAACAATATAAGAAGAAAACAAGAAGTAATTTATATGATTTTATTTTTCTACTGTTTCATAGTTTAGCTTCAATAGCTTTAGTACCAGCCAAAACTCTTTGCACAAAGTTTCTAGTCGTCTTGGCATATTCTTTCTTGTACTTCATGTGATGACCACAATGGAAGCCAGTCTTCCAGGTCTTGATCTCAACATTCTTTCCAAACCTCGCTTGACCAATGACAAACTCGTCGATAAGTGGAGGAGATACCATGGTATCATCGAAAGAGTAAAAGAATAGTTGAGATTTGGGTAGATCATCAAGTTCGGCCAGTTCAACACCATAGTTGTCTTTGAGTTTTAACGCCAAACGTAGTGACCAGAAACAGAATCTGGGTACGGCGAATGGGAGATGTTTTAGCCATTGTGTTGTCGTCTGTTGTTTCTTTGGGTATCCGGTGAAGAAGGAGGTGTGGACGTAGAATAGGGGATTCAGGGCGAAGCGACTTGGGGCGCTAAAATACGACTTTAAATAAAAATATCTTTAAAAATTTCTAGTAAGATCATCATTAAAAAGCTATTGGAGGCAAAATCAGTTTATATTCAACATGATGACAAAAGTGTCAACACATCTCTGCAGAAGAAGCTATAGGCTTTTGATATTAACATAGAGGGAGATGATGACAAAGCTCTTAAAAATGTCATAAAAAACGACAGAAGCTTAAACACAGTAATTTCAGAACAGAATACTGTATTTAATAGTATGCCAGTTGATTTTTATTGTATAAAAGTCATGATGACGCATTAAATAGACTAAATGACTATAAAAAGAGGTACTTACCTATCAAAAGCGATAGCTTTAACCTGAGCTTTCTGGTCTTCATCCAGAAGTCTCCACAACAAGTTGACCAATGTTGCTCCATTGTGACTGAAACTGTGGATAAATACTGGTCGGTTGGGGTTGGGTGTTACGACTGGTAGATAAATGTCATCCAAAAAGCATTCAGCTTTGCCTGGGAGTTGCTCCAATTTGTATTTGTGATACATCATAGGGATATGAACGTGGACTTCGAAACTGAAAAAGTTTAAAATTAAATTTTTATAAGATTTTAACTGGCAATGGTATAGTGAATACAAAGTTTGTGGAAGGACTTTACGGCGCGAAAATTGAAGTTTGAAAACTGGCGGGGATTTTTAATTAGCACTGTGCAGAATTTTAAATTATGTCGAGTATATTAATAATATAGTACTAAAATAATATTGCAACACCAAAAATTACAAATCACTTACCCCATTTCCCTGTACAAGTTGCTAACTGGTTCGAAGAACCATTCTTTGCTACTGAGAAATCCAATGACAAAACATATAGGACTGTCAGGTTCATGATGGTACTCTACTGGCGGTGATGATTTTCTGGACATACTTAGCTGATTTCTTAAGTTTTAGGTTTTTAATAGTATTTTATAGGTAACAAGTAGTATTGTAGGCAATTTTAAACTTGCTGAGGTAGATAATACTGTAGGGGTACTGTAGCTTTTTGGGGTGGGTTTGATAAAATACGGGGGCCTTGTTGTTCACTGTATATATTTGAAGGTATTCCTTAATAGCAATAAGTATTTTTTGAAAATAAAATTTGTAAAGTTACCCCGATGTAACTAACAAGCTATACCGCCAAAAAGCCAGTCTTATCACAACTGTCTACTGTTTATATAGTTGTAGCTGTTAAACTGTTATTAAAACTTATCAACGAATCTTTTACGATACAAAACCTCTAGTAGACGTGCACTACAATGTGAAGATTACTGTTTTTATGCACGTCGTTGTTGTAATTTTTCAACCTTATCAATCTGACTTTCAGCCCGGAGGCATTACCACACACGACGAAGGCGTTCAGTTCAACTTCGAGCCGGAAAAACCGCTACAACGCGATGCCTACATCAACTGTGACATCTTCAAGGATGTGAGTTCGGTTTTGAAAATTGTACTAATGGGACGGAAACATTTGGTACTGTAGAGTACGAAAAAAGTGGTACTGTTTGGTTACAAAAATAGTTTTTAACTGAAAGGAATGGGGAAAATGAGGGTTTCTTAAGCATTTTTTGGCTGTCTTTTGATTTTTTTAATTTGAAAAAGCCAAAGACACGATTTTTAGTATGGTACTAAAATTTCAGTACTATGTGCGTACCATTTTTTAAAGTCACATTTTGACAGTTTGCAGGGTCAATTTTTAACTTTCTTTTCACTTTTTGTTAGTTTTCATAGTGAAAAATCTTAGTTTATTCAAATTTTTGAACATTTTGAGTATCGTACTGAAGTTTCTGGTCTTTTCAATATATTTTTCTTTTTAAAAATTTTTGATTTGGTCGATAAAAAAGTAATTTTTGGTTTATTTTTTCTAATTTTCCTTTATTTTTACGCTACAAAATTTCCAAAAACAATTAAAAGTGCAAACTGATAAAACTATTTATCATTGTTAATGGTTTCAAAAATGATTTGGGCTTTTGATCTTATGATTGCAAATTGAGAAAGGCTACAAAAAGTAAGAAAAGCTGACAATACATTAGAAAAAACTTTGCACTATAAAATTATTTTGCGTCTTATTCTCACGGGTGTTCTAAAATGAGTAATTGATTGATGTGACTATCAATGAACGTGGGTTTAAAATAATGTTATGTTTGGGTTTGTAGTTTTGGTTTACAATATGTAGGGGTAGAAAGGGTCAGGGTTTGGTTTCGGTTTGTAAACCTAAGGTAAGTTGAACCCTAAGGGTCATTTTTTATGCCTTTGGGCTCATCCGCCTCGGGTTGGCTTCTTTTAAATTTGATTTGGATCGGGTTCTGGTCTATTGGGCCTTCTGTCAGTTTTAGTAGACCTAAGTTGATCTCTTTGGACTTTGATTTGAACCTGTGGCTCATATAAGCCGGCCCGGTCTAGTACGGGCTGAGACTGTGCCGGACAGGCCCTCTTTTAGGTTTATTTAGGGCTCTTTCTCAATAATTTATAAATTTTCAGAATGCTCTTGATCAAAGCACAGCAACATCTCTCAGATCCTTTATTAATCACAGTACATCAGTATCATTAAAAGGTAGTCCACTAGTACTTCCAAAGCATCTGAAACATGACTTCGGACTAACAACAGACAAAACGGATCTTTTTGATGCTACAACATCAGTTGATATTCAACATGATGACAAAAGTATCAACACATCGCTGCACGAGAATCTACAGTCTTCTGATGTTAACATAGAGGGAGCTGATGACAAAGCCTCTAAAAATGTTATAAAAGCTGACATAGGCTCAAATACAGTAAATTTAGAGCAGAATACTGTATCTACTAGCATGTCAATTGATTTTGATGATATAAAAAATCATGATGACGCATTAAATGGACAAAACAGAGCTAAAAAGCGTCATGATGACATGTTTGACAAAAGTTGCTGTACATCACTAATAGAGAATGTGGATGTGATGACGGGTACGAGGAGTTTTGAGCACGATACTATTGGGAATAAGTATGGTAAAGTTGATTTTTGTGGCGAAACTGATGACAAATCATGGGCTGATGTTAAGGATGTGAGCATATCAGCTGGAGTCGAGAACGATGACAAAAGTATATGTACGAGTGTGAATGAGAACTTGGAAGCGGGTGTGGGGACTGATCGGGTGCTGGTTTATGTAAGTTTTATATAATAGTTCGGTTTAAAAGTGGCAAAAATGGGTAAAATGAACGTGGAAGATTTTCAGTGGGAATTGTATTAGAAATTTTTCACTTTTTTTGGTTTTTTAGTTCTTGAGCTTAAAATGAGTCAAAATTAAAGAAAAATATTTTTTTGTGTAAAATACGGTCTGCAGAGCCAATTCTGATAACGTTTTTAGAATCGCTCCATGGAGACATCAGAAATTAGGTATTGGCGAGGAGAGAGCAGTCGTTGTGTTCAGACAATGTTTCCAGAAGACTTTGAAGACGATGAGAATGTCATGGATGCTGAAACGCGAAGGAAATTGTTTTCAAAAGCTAATCAGGACTTTAGTTTTGAAGATTTATCAAATCATGATGTTAGGTATGTTTTTGAATTGCACCGTGCAAAAAATTTGAAAAATTAATTTATAAAATTTTTTGATTGATAATTTAAAAATTTGAAATTAATATTATAAAGTAGTACTATTTTTATATATTAGTGTTATTTTGGAGCCAATATCTTTTTTTTACTTTTATTAAACTTTTTTTATGTGACTGCACCGTGCAAAGTTAAAAAAAATTTTTGAAAATTTTCATTTTTTAATTTTAAAAAACTATTATCTTTTTAGCCAAATGTTTGTTACTGTCTAACATTCATACTATTTTCAGCATCCAGTACTCTCTGCCAGGCCAAGATGTGTGTGAAACGGGCGTCCAGACCTTATTATCAACTTGTGATCTGAATGAGATGGAAGAATGTGCCGCCAAGTCAAAATCAACCGCAGCAATGATTAAAATAACCAAGAATGACTCTACTACAAGTTTAGATGGCAGTGATGAGAACTTGAATTGCAAAAAGGAGGATGTTGTTAAGCAAGACCTTATCATTCAAACAGACGACTCTTACCTTAAGATAGCCAGACGACTGGATGAATACCGGACCAACAGGTCACAGGGTATTCAAGTCTACACTGTGGGTCAGTCGTCACCTTCACATCGCCGCAAAAACAGTCGATATTTGGCGGCTGCGAGTAATTTTGTCAGGAGACGAAGCAGTCGATCGCCGAGAGTGCCAAGATACCCAAGGAATGAGAAAACACCTCAGCGGGACGAGGAGATGACAACAAGACCTGAGTTGTTGTTACCTGTTGCATTGTTGGAGGAGTATTCACATGCCGGGCCTAGTACTAGCAGTGGGCATGTGCGGTCGGGTAGGTTAATATAAGTTTTTAATAGAAAATTGGGCAGGGACTTTGTTTGAGGGTGGGATAGGATAAATAAGGTACGATGAGATGGGGTACACGTCATACCGAGAGGTGAAATAGAACCAACGTGGCGTTTCGTCTAACAAAACGGCGCGTAGTGTCACATTTTCAAAAATTGATTGTTTTTTTTATTTTATTATTTTCAATCGATATTTGAAGCGCAGCGATTTGTGTTTCTGCGTTGACGAAACGTCACAACCGCTTTATTTCACAAATTTGTTTTATTTCGGTTTGACGTGGGGTAGGGTAAGATAATGAAATTTTTTTTTAAATTTAAAATTTTGCAATTTTTCAGAAGACGAAATCTCGGATCTATCAGAAGTGGCAGAGTTAACAACGACTCGGAAGATGGCAAAAGTCTTGACATTTTTGGAACCAAAACCCCCAGCTTCTGGCTTATTAGCGGTGGCACAGAACGCTCAAGTAACGACGGAAAAAGCGAAACGAAAAGTTAGTTGGAGGCCAAAGCTACTCAGTAGAGCTTCAACATCATCATTGTTTGGCAATGAGGAGAAGAAAAGTGTCAAGGTAGGAAGTTTGAACAGAATTTCTTTTTTTTGGGGGGTGTTTTTTTTGTAAAATACGTGGCGCCGGATTTTCGTGTATGAAAGGGAGAGGCTAAGACCAAAAAATTTGGAGGGAGGGGGAAAAAAAAATTTCGGGTGGTGGGTTTAAAAATTTTTTTTGTATTAAATTTGATAATATGAACCCTCTTTATAATAATAGCTTTTTCACCGTCCTTTGTAATAGAACTTTATCAAAAATTACCTGGGTAGTGCACTATAGTGTCACATCCTGTTTATAACGGCACTTTGGTCTAAACTTTTGAGTGTTATCTAAACAGGGTTGACTGTATCTCAATATACCTTCTCTAACTTTGTGTTTGTTATCTACCCACCTACTCATTTTCAATTCCTTTTCTATAAATGAGGTTCACTTACTTACAAGTACATATATTTCCATAAAGAACACATATCCATGCACATATATTGTTTTCTCAACACAAATTTGTTATCACATACACCTTTCAGCATGATAAGTAATATTTTGTATGTCACTAAATATTGCACATGATTGAAAAACGTTAAACTTGGTACACTAAACTCAACGGTTTGTCTTTCACATTATTATGCACATCAGTAGCACCCACCTTCACTGCATTTGTAAGTTGGTATATACGATTTTTAACGGCAAAAAAAATTTAGAGTATTAGTCTGTTTAAATAATTTTGAGCCTCTGAACTCTGAAAATTTGCTTTCAGAATGGCTCAAAATTAATTTAACAGCCAAATATTTATTGCACTGTGCCAAAATTTATCATTACAGTATCTTACAGTAATAAAAAATTATTTTTGATATGATTTTCAGCAGATATCCGCCAGTTTTGATCATTCCACATCCTCAGCCATTAGTCGAGTACTAGAGCGCGACTCTCCTCGTCGTTCATCTCTCCCCGTTCCAATCAAGAATCCGATTCCGACCGGTCGAGTAAAGGATTACGTGACTAAACATGAGAAGGGAATCCACTCTCCAGGCACGGTGGAAGGCTTGAAGAAGGGCATGGTACAGGTTATTGACATGAGGACCAAGAATTCTGGATAAAACCTTATATTGTAGTATGTTCTTGTTTATAATTTGATAAGTTAGTGTTATGTTGGGTTACTACAGTGTTGTATTATGTTTTTATGGAGTTTTATGTAATGTTTGTGTCATAGTATGGTATGTTAACATATATTTTGGCACGTTAAGGTCACAAAAATTCATGTCGTTTTTTGACATGCAAATCAATGTAAATTGCCGACAAGACTTTTTCGATGCCTTAATGCTGCATGTTATGTTCATTTTTGTACAGTATTGATGTATTACTGTATTTTTCTATGTTTTTACTAATTATAGAGACTTTTATAGATATATATTTTGATAAATATTTTAAAATTTTTATTGTTAACAACATTTTTTGAATAAATATTATTATAACTTTGATATTATCGTATCATCCAAAGTTTTTAACTTTGTATTGTGACTATGCTTACTCTGTGATTACTTTCATACTGTGGTTTGTTTATACTGTGTATATGTTGATACTGTTTCTATGATTATACTGTGACTATGTTTTACTGTTTCTATGTTTATACAGTGGCCGTATTCATTCTGTAATTAACGTTTTTTTTGTCGCTTTTATCACGGGAGTATGTTACAATTTCCAGTTTTTTAAGTTTAAAATACTTGAAGTCAATTATCGTGACATCGTTGTAGTTTAATGGCTGTGAATGTAGTTGTAAAGTACAGTTTTCACCATTATTACATGTTTTTATGGTTGGGTGTTTGAAGTACAGTGCTTTCAAGGGGTTTTTACATTGTTTTACAGGGTTTTTATTAATTTTTTTGTTTATTTGTTAAGGGTTATGGTGTTTAAAAAGTTTTGTCGCTTTTTTGTATGAGAACTAACGAGAAAAAACGACAATACTTTTTTAAAGCTTTAGTTAGGTTAATTCAAGGCATTTTAAACCATATTTATGCTTAAAAACTATATCTTGATGTACTTCAATATAATACTAATGAAATATGATGTTAAAAGTGATATTTTGTGATATTATACCTTTCGTAAAAACCAAAAAGTCATGGAACGGCTGAAATCGATCCATTTTTTCGCCGCGACAATCCTTCTCTCTGCTGTAAAGCGAACATTAACCGTAGCGTTTTCGTATGACAAAGAAAGACATTTAAATGGCGACATATTTGCGTTACCGTATATTATACGACCTTATATGGTGGTGGCGCGCAAATCATTGTTGCTTGGCAAACGAACTAAACAATATAAATACTGCTCTTTCTTTCCTATCTATTATACATGGGTTATATGTAGAGATGAAGAGCAGTATTTGAGATGGTTTTTAAAAAAGTTTTCATAAAAAAAATTTACTGTGTAAAATTAAGATAAAAATAGAAAAAACTTAGTAACTGACCATTCTATGGCACATGTGGGCCCGAACGCTGTGGCTTATATCAAGGCCTCAAGTGCTCAACATAGCTTCAGCAACAAAAGATTTGACTTTTAAAAAGTGTAAAAGGAATCTGGTGTTAAAGCTATTTACTTAATAATCATTTTTGAATTATTTTGAAAAATTGAAATTATTAAATTATTGGTTATTTACTGCACAGAAGCCGTAATATATTAATACAAGTTGTCCTAGATTTTATTTTAAAATTGTAGAAATGCGGCTAGGCCGGGTTGAAAAATTGAGCCCATTCCGGCTGCTTTACAAGTATACTTCCTGCCGGTTCAAACGTATTGGTTAAGAAATTTGTTTGGTCAGAACCAGGGCTGTAGCATACCAGATTGACTTCAAATTGGCTTGCTTTGATCGACCAAATCTGTCAATTTCTTAACTGGTATAAAATTTGATTCAGGCTAGTCCAAACAATGCAAAAAAGTATAGGTTAGATAAAACAAATTTTGAAAAAATGTATGCTTAAAACCCCTTGATTTTGCTATTCAAACTTTTTAAATTTACAGTAAGAAAAAAGATTTTAAAAACATTAAAATCTTTGTATTTTACTCTATTCAACTCCATGTCATGTTTGTTATGGTACTCAAAGTTTGTTATCTGTAATCATGTGTTTTTTGCAAAATTGATGCAATGTGCTACGTGATTTATAAAAAAAATGTTTAAAGCTGTAGTACCAGCTATTTTAAACTCCAATTTTATGTTTTGATACAATATGTCTTGTGAAGGAATGTGAAAGGCACAAGCCATAATTGTAGGAAAAATCTGGTATTGTTTGGAAATGTGCAATCTACAAGTTGTGAAATTAAAGTTTAAAGGTTTGATACAGTAAGCTTTTAATGTGGTTAAGTTTACTGTAGGACTCAGAACTGTAAAGGGGTCAGACTGGAATTGATTTGAGCCTTGTTCTTAGGCTTAACTGTGCCTTTGGGTTTGCGATTTGGTCTGGGCCGGCTCTTTGCATTGTTGCTTTGGCCTAGCTTGGGGCCGAGGCTGGGCAAGCATCTAGACAAGTAAAATCCTTTTTTAAAATTTAAAATAAAAAAATGTTATAGTCAGTACCACTATTGACTACCTGTTTTAGTGTTGTTTAAATTGGGGGTCTACTTTAATATACAGTACTCTCTCTATATAAGCAACTTGAAGGGATTAACATTTTGTATTTACTATAAGGGGTGTTGTCTTTACAGAGAGGCTTTTAGTGCAAATTGACTTGGCGGGGCTAAATTTCTTGTTTACTGTAATAAAAGTTATACAAATGGTTCAATATATAGAGAAACCACTGTATATGTATATTGTCTTTTTTTACTGTATTTTTACTTATTTTCTACTTTTTTAAGCCATATTTTTATGCTAAAGTAACTTTTTACTGTAGTAAACAATCTTGACTTGCCATAACAAATATTTTAATCATTTTCTTTTGTTCAACTTTAGTGTTATCTAAACTTTGAAACAAATTTTTATTGTGAAGCGACAGTAACAATGTTTGCACTTTTAAATTGCTCGCAAAATCAATGAGAAACCAAGGACTTTTGCATTTTTAAACAAAGGAAAAGGCTCTTCTCTGACTGTCTGTCGGCTCTTAATAGGACTCGCTCTAGCCCTCTCTTCTTCTCTTACACTATTTTCGTTCTTTGACATCTGGCAGTTCTAAAGTTGTTTTTTAGTAATTTTTTACAACTTTCTTTTCGCACCTGTCATTCTCTTCGGCTTTCCCACTATTTCAAGCAATATTTTTTGTGTCTGTGTGTCTCTCCTTTTCATGCGTTATTTTCAAAACTTTAATGTTTGTCTGGCTGCTCTCTGCTTTTACTGTAGTCTTTTAAAATGCGCGAAAGCGAAGTGAAAGAGTTAAGAAGAAGGTCAATAAAGCGAGAAGGGGGATCAAAGAACAACCCAGATTTGAATAAATAAGAAAGACGTATTTTAGACTTAAATTATACTCCTCGAAACTCAAAAGTGAAGTCTCCGTTCTCGGAGATGGAGATACCTACAAAGAAGATTTTTTGCAGGCTCAAAGTTTAGGCTATTTTATGCAAATTTTAAAAAAATCAGTTTTTTATCTTGCACTTTGCGAACTACATAAATTATTCCAATTTTTATAGCGAAACGCAAAAGTGAAGTCTATCGAAAATTAAATTAAAAACGTTGTATTGGGGAATAATTTTGGTTTTAGACGTGGCATGGTATTCTTTGTATACTATAAATATGTTTTTCAATGGGTAGAAGCCACAAATTTTTGACTTTTTAATTATTTGGGTGACTGCAACACAGTGGTAGAAATAAATCAGCGTTAATTCAACGCTTGCTAGGAGCACTAAAATTTGTTAGCAGATGACTTAAGAAAATGTTATAACAGCTATAAGTGATCAGCAAACCCTTTGAAGATCAAATAAGAAGTTTTATTTAAAAAATTATATACCACAAGCAATCGTCAATGCTAACATGCTTCTCAGTACGTTGAAATTGGTATGTTATAAACGATTGATGCAAATGAGCATGACAAAATAGGTGTTTAGTGCAGGATCACCTATTTTATATTCAATTTGAGACCGTATATCCTTTAACTGCGTGTCAGCTTTGTAGTTCATTATTACTGTCATTTCACTAATCTTTAACGTTCAATATCGAAGATGGAAACCGCTTCTGTGTCACTAGATATGGTCATAGGTGTACATATATCTTTAACAACACATTACGTGCCACCTGAGTTCTGTAATCAAGCCGGTTTGTAAGTGCCATAGTGTATAGCGCTATGACTTATAATAACAAACATTTCCTGAAAGCGGGACACTATGTTTTGCAATCTTTTTACGTTTTGTAGGTAAGTCATGTTTGAAGTACATCTAAAAATTGCTGGACAGACATAAAGAACGAGATACTACCATGTCGCATACAAAGATTGTTCTATATAGGCTTTCTATATCCAATAGATTTTAACATTTTTCAAAATAAAACTTCTTATTTGATCTTCAAAGGGTTTGCTGATCACTTATAGCTGTTATAACATTTTCTTAAGTCATCTGCTAACAAATTTTAGTGCTCCTAGCAAGCGTTGAATTATCGCTGATTTATTTCTACCACTGTGTTGCAGTCACCCAAATAATTAAAAAGTCAAAAATTTGTGGCTTCTACGCATTGAAAAACATATTTATAGTATACAAAGAATACCATGCCACGTCTAAAACCAAAATTATTCCCCAATACAACGTTTTTAATTTAATTTTCGATAGACTTCACTTTTGCGTTTCGCTATAAAAATTTGAATAATTTATGGAGTTCGCAAAGTGCAAGATAAAAAACTGATTTTTTTAAAATTTGCATAAAATAGCCTAAACTTTGAGCCTGCAAAAAATCTTCTTTGTAGGTATCTCCATCTCCGAGAACGGAGACTTCACTTTTGAGTTTCGAGGAGTATATTAGAAATGGCAAAATTGAGAGTTTGTTAAGTTGTTTGTTTATCATAGAGAACAAATAAAAATTTAAAAATGAAAAAATAAATTTTGAAAAAAACTGTTTTTAATTTATGTTACAGTAGTCTTTCTGTATATCAAATCGCTCATGGATGTGAAATTTCTTCGTTATACAGAAATT